CTCCCCTCACCGAACACGTGGAGCGCTGCTCGTTTGGGCTGAAATTCTGATATTCATAGAGGCTGTCATTTGCTAACTCCCCCCCCCCCCCCCCCGTTTTATTAGTGAGCTATAAGAATAAAAATGACAGCATAGAAGTGTCCACATAAACAACAGGGAGAACTTAAAGGCCCCATTTCTCTGCCGTTGGTATGCAGCTCGCCTCTCCAGCATAAAATGGGACTAGCTCATATCTGCCGGTGTGTGAGGGTAAATCAGGAGGCCCTGTGAGCGTCAATGTGCAGATTCTCCCCACCAGGGAGGTCATTACTGCCAAATGTGTGAAAAACATACAGGCCACTCAGCACAGGAGTGGGATTCACTGCAGCCCAGATGCAACCAAATCAATTTCCCACAATAAACAAAGGTTTTATATTTATAAATCTTAGTTTAAGTTCGTTTAGATGATCTAAAGTCATCATTAAGCCCACCTGATGCTGAGCTAGCTAAAAGGTTTTAGACAAATGTGCACAGCACTAACAAAGCTGTGAACTCCCTTTTTTTTTTTTAGAAAGAGAGCCACAAGTGGCAGGGGAGTAGTAACACATACTTTCTATGAGCAGTAAATCAGTTTTTCTGTCAGTAACTGCACATTTTAAATGTAAATTTGAGACTTGGGCAGATAAAAAGGACGAGCTCAGTGCCCCCGATCAGAGCCCAGTGTGAATATTGGGAAGGCAGCTTTAACTGTGTCACCGGGACATGGGTGCAGAGAGCTGTGACACATCCCTGTCTGGCTTTCAGACTTTCAGTGGAAAACGGAGAAACCAGACAGAGACACACCTCAGTCTGAAGACTCTAAGGTTTAAGATGTTTATTTAGCTCACAGCAACAAGGAGGCCCTCATGGAACCCGTATTCATTCAGGGGGGGCTGAAGATTTTGTTCTTTAAGGGGGTTATCTATCTACGATGGTTTATGCTGACAGGGTCATCCGTGCACTGAAAACTGGACAGCAGGTCCAGGAGAGAGTACACCCTGCTAAACAGCAGGATTCTCCTGAGTTTTATTGAGATTCTAAGTCTCCCTCTTACTTGAATCTATTTAAATGTGGCAATAAAATAAACGCTCTGAACATTATCAACGGACCTTTTTTTTTAACCAAAAAAATGACATATTTAAAATCACTTTCAAACACGTTTGTTTCAGGGAGCCTAATGGCTTTATGGCACTGACTATTAAACTATGCTAATCTATTTGCCTTCACCCATTCTTCACATGATTTTTATCGTGAGCTCTAATAAGGCGAGCTGACAAAGACTTGACCTCTTGGCAAATTGATCCAACAAAAGAAATGAAAGCCAGGGAGAGAAAACAAAGGTTTGGCTGTTTTGATAGAACAACATGAGATGAAGGCAGGGGATAAGTGATACTGAAGACAATCAAGTGCTTTCATGCCGCGAATGGAACCTTTGAACTGGGGCAGAGGACGGAGGAAAGAAAGAACACCAAACGGCGGGGAATTGATTTCCTCCTCCCGTAGAGGCGGCGGGCTGATCAGCGTCTCCCCAAAAGCTTCTGGTAAAAGGCTGAGATGAAAACAGCCAGGCGTGGAGAGGCAGATTAAAACGGGCAGTGGATGGAGCCCCGTGGTGCTGATGGAGCGGGCCATGTTTGTGCACGCCTGTCAATACGTGTGCCCACACGTTTCTGCTGGAACCTACAAAGATCAGGACCATTTACTGGCCTCTCATCTGCTGCACATCACTCCGTCATCAGCATCTCACTTCAACTTCCAGCACCATATTTAAAAAAAAATAAAGATTTTAACCATTTTTTTTAAATCTTTTTTTTTTTATTTATACCTGTAGAGGTTCCTCTTTTATCACAGGGGTTAGGTATATATATGTATAGTTTTGATATTTCTTTGGCTAGGAAATGCCTATTTTAACTTGCAAACAATGAAGAAATGAAAAAGAATAAATATAACAAATACCTAAATACACTAAATCCAAATACAGCCCTGAAAATACAGTGATACAGGGACATAAAGTATGGATGGCACAGCATGTCTCACAGGTTTCCTGGTGGGATTTTTCCTAGGTCATCACTTTTGCTTTGCTTATCGTCATGGGCCTGACCCTCAGGGTCCTCCATGGACCTCCAACACCGCGGCTCAACAAGCCGCCGCCCCAATGGTCTGTACCTTATCTCTGACCGCATTATTTCTATTAAAAGCTGAGTAACAGGGGGAAATCTTTCTTGACTTGGTAGGCGTGTAAAAGCTCACCCATTCATTTCACTCTGCCCAAGGTCACCCGGTTATTAAATGCACTGATGAGGAGCCCTGTCTAATTCTGACCTCAGGATCAATGCACTGCACAGCTTCCAATCCCATTTAACTGAGTGGAATCAGCAAGGTAGCACAGGGAGGGCAGAAGAAAAGAGCACAAACCTAGACCTTCCACATCATAAGCCATAGCTACAGAAAGACCATCATTAAGATTTTAGCTATGTCCAACCGTTGTCCGATATAAATATCTAACCTGAATCGACTTTAAGGTTTTCCATTAGGTAGTAGCTCCCGATACCAGGTGTGTTTTAGCCCCTGCTCGGCCAGGTTCCAAACAGTCTGAGTCTAGCCAAAAATGTACAGTGTCTACAGAGCTGACCCACCAGTTTGAAAAACTCTGCAACAGCCTGCGTGAGATGCCATTATCTCTGTGATTGTCAGCAGTGTAAATGGCAAAACCCAAAACATCACCGTCGTCCAACATTGTGTCGCGTTTGAGTCCTAAACAAATCACGTCCTGGAACCTCAACAGCCCCGTCCACATTGAGGTGGGAAGAAGCCGGAATGGAAAGCAATCTAAGCCAACTAAGCCAAGTAGATACTAGTGGAAAAGAACAAAAGGGGGCAGATTTTTGACAAAATCTCCAACTTTTGGAATGCAGGGTACAGCTCTTTCTGTCTTTCTGCTGCAGAGATCATGATTTAGTTGGTTTTATGTGACCAAGTGCTGCTTTTCAGGATGACTGGATAGAAAATAAAATCAGATCAAGAGTCTGGGGCAAAACATTTTTTATGCTGAACTAGACCAGAAACAGACCAAAATCAAAGTTTATGCTCTAATTTCGGCATTAAAGAGAGAGAGAATATCTGTGCTATGATGGCTCTTGCACTGAGATCTGAACCTGAATCTGTAATGGGGTGGCAGACTGTAATGCTCTTCCAGAAAAGACTATCCAGCTACAGCCCATACAGAATGCTGCTGCCAGAGTCCTAAAAAGAACCAGAAAAACCAAACACATTACTCCCGTTTTCACTTTCATTATTCATTTCCTCTTAATGCCTTTGTAAAAACTCTGAGTTGCTGTATAAAATGTGCTATACTTAAAACCTGCCTCACCTACTTTGAGCAATAAAAGCCCCAGAGTTGTCGTAATTATTTAAAATGATTTTAATGAGGTTTTCTGTTATGTTATACAACCTTGCATGTTCGATGACTAGGGCTTGGGAACAGGCAGTGACTGTGCTTTCCATGTGCGGAGTCCAGCTGACATAAAAACACTCACCTTTATAATAGAACAGACAGAAATCGGCCAAGACAAACCACTTCCTCTTCCAAAGACGCATCCCGGAGCTGTCCTGCAGGAAAAAAGAGGGGTAAGGAGTGTAAGTAAAGCAGCCACGAATAATAAGATGAAGCATTACGCAAAAACTGGAGGAGAGAACAAGAAGCTCCACACAGATATCCTCAGTGGGAAGGGGGGGGGGGGTAGATGAGAGAGATGAGAGGAAAAGGCTGAGAAATATGGAGATGGAGAAGGGTGGCGAGAGACCACAGATACGGCAAAAACCCTGAGAGAGAAGCGTGATAGGCGTGAGAAGTCATAACAGGGGTGAACAGGAAGAGAGAGAAGAAGAGGGGGGGGTTGGCTTGTTGTGGATTGCTGTGCCAGCCACCAATGATCAGCTGCATGCTCCGGCTTTCAAGTTCTGAGGCTGAAATAGAGCCATTTAAAGCACAGATGAAGTGCGGAAGGATGAAATCACCCCAGAAACAGTTCGACCGGCTCATCCTTTGGCTAAAGATGTAAAGAAGTAACCATGTAGCAGTCTGTGGCTGCATGAAAAGGGCTGGGAAAGTGGAGGGGGCTGTCCATTTGGTCACAATAATGGTAGCCTGTGCAGCTTCCACAGCCAGGAAAAAATATCTGTGTGTCAGTGTGTTAGCAAACGATTGAACCAGCTCCCAGTAGCATCGCTGGCCCAGAGGACAGGCTTCTCCCACTGGGACCATGCCAGCTAAAGTTATTTGAAGTGAGACTTAAAATAGGCGGACGGTCTCCAGTAATAGGCTGTCTGTGATCAACAGCAGGTGCTCTACACTGTCAATGAAAAAGGAATATATCAAGAGAATGAAACCAGGCCACAGAAGGATGCTGGATGAATTTGATCCTTTAAAGCACCTGCTTTCTTCTAGGCTTTTTAATACTTCTGTGTTACTAACATTCGATTTCTTCTGTGATCTGTAATGCCTGCACTTGTCTGTCTTTTTCCAAATATACAGGAATAGTTTTCTGCTTCTTCATGGCTGATAAATCTATAAAGGTTGGATGTATGTGAGGACACAAACCTGACCAAAAGTCAACATTCCTGCTTGGCTGTTCCACTGTTGTGCGTGTCTGCCATGCTGTTATTCAATAATTGAGGGAGTAATCTATTTTCTTTTTTGTAATGGAATCCTCTGAGTGACTGTCTGCAGGTCTAGGAGTGATGCGTGTCCTCTGCTGATTGGCTCCCACTGAACGTCTAATTGTGAGTAAAAAAAGTGAGCAGGCTCCCAGCCGTCCCTGGACAGCAGCAGGCAGACAGGTGAACAGAGGCTGTGGATGAAAGCCATCTTTCGATTTTATCTGTCTGCCTGTCTCCCAATGTTGGCATACAGTATTAGTATTTATTTCACTTCTTGAAATAAAATTACTTAGTTATTTTATAATTGAGACTTTGATGAGGGCAGGAAAAAGCTTTTATTTGACTCATGAGAACAGTGACCTGAGCACAGGAGCATGTCAGAACCAACGGAGCGCATGTGGGTGTCCCCTACCTGTTTGTAGAGCCACCCTCTGACCACCACGGGGACATTGGGATTCCTCTTAATGGACTGCTCCCTCTTTCCGAAGCTGTGAACTTTGCCACTGGAGCGGGAGGCCTGCAACACAGACACCAGAGGGCTTTCAGGTGAGGCTACAGGTTCTGAACAACAGCACCTAGGAGCTGACTACAAAAAGGAAAAAGACATTTCTGTCAAAATGAGGTTGTGGCATTTCAGTGTGTAAACTACACACGTTGCAGATGTTCCGTTCAGCTGGTAGCTTCTGGCCCTACTGTAAAACCTTTACTAAGGGTTAGCGTGGCTGCCCTTACAAATGAATTGTTTACATTTTTTGTTGCTGTTGTGTGGTTTAATAATCATGACAAACACCAATTCTGTCAGATTCAGCCCATTCATGAACAGCCTTCAAAGTTTTCTTTGCATTGTAAAATGACATAAATAAAAACATAATTTCATCAATACAAGTCCTAGTTTTTTTAACCATAAATCTGAATAAGATACAGAGTATTTTCAAGCACGACATGAATGGGTTAAAACAGCCGAGACAAAAAGCGAGACAGTTCTCAGGGTCACGGTGCCTTACATCTGAAAAGAGGCCTGTGCCTCATCAGACCATTCAATCTTCCTTATAACAGCACCCAACAGACCCACACGTCATTATCTTTCTCTTTTTTTTAGCCACCTCTTTTTCGGCCCCAGCAGTTACCTAATTACAGCCATTATACGGACGGAGTGAGGACGCTTTTGCACCTGATCTCTGTGGCTGTGACAGCTAGCGCTCCTATGGCAACTGTGAGACACTGAGGGAGAATCTGCAGGCTGGCAGACGGGAGGCGGCCGGAGACCTGCAGGTCAGCTTTCTGATTGCCTGACACACCTGTTTGGTGGACAGAGAGTGGAAAGCAACCAGAAAACCTCCCTATGAGCAGCAGAAGGCTGTGTGGCTGTGAGTGCTGCCTCTGTGTACTCCAGGTCCAGCAGTACCCGGATAGCCAACATCTGCATTTTTGCCAATTTAATCTACCCTTGAACCTTGAAAGTTCATTGTTTGAGCTTTTAATCCAGGACGCTAACTCCCTCAATCGAAATCTACTCATCAGTAAAAGCCGGGTCTGTGCAGGGTCAAGAAAAAGCCCATCCCAGGTCAGATTGACTAACTAAATTCCAATTTTGTTTATTGTAACCAGAAGATAAAACCCCATTTGAATTTACAAAACAGACACAAGTTGACTGTAAAAGGGGAGGTTTCAGATTTAGAAAGGTTGAATAAAATGGATCATGATACAGGAACCAATACTAATACTGTTTAAGCCAGTGAGAATGCTGAGAAGGGCGTGTGCTGCTCAACCAGAAGAACTTTTCAAAGATGAACTGAGCAAACATGAAACGATTCAGCTTGTGATGTGTCGGTCCTAATGACCTTGACTTTCATTTTGCAAACTGTGTTCATCATAGGAAGCACCCTCACACCCTGAAACCTTAAGAAACCTAAAGGACAAATAAAAGAAAACAGAGATTCTTCCTTCAGAGAAGATGGGATTTGGTGATTCTACAAAATAATTACAACCCCTGGCAAAAACGATGGAATCACCGGCCTCGGAGGATGTTCATTCAGTTGTTTCATTTAGTAGAAAAAAGCAGATCACAGACATGACACAGAACTAAAGTCATTCAAAATGTCTGGCTTTAAGAAACACCCAAAGAAATTTTAAAACCAATGTGGTGGTCAGTAAGGGTTACTTTTTTAGACCAAGCTGAGGGGAAAAAAAATATGGAATCACTCAATTCTGAGGAAAAATTATGGAATCACCCTGTAAATTTACAGCTGGATCAAACTAGACCTGCTCGTTAGTCTGCATCTAAACAAGAGTGACCAGACCTCAGAGTGCACGAGTTCACCGACATGAAGCAGGGCTCCAACACCAGAGCACAGCTACCAGATGGTAGCTCATCACACAATGTTGAAAAGATGTTGGTTAACAGTCAGCTGGGTCTAAGATCTGGACCAAAAACAAACGACGTGGGAAGGTTGTTAAAGGCACTGTTAGACCAAGGAAGACATCAAAGCATGAAGACAGAAAATTTAAAGCGAGATGCTCAACAAAACAAATGAGGAGCGAATGGGAGGAAACTGGAGGAAACTGAAGGAACTGAGGTCAACATCTTTGACCGGTAAAAAAAACTGCCTTAAGGAAATGGGATTCACATACAGGATAGCTCAACGAAAGCCATCATTAACACCTAAACAGAAAAAACAAGGTTAGAATGGGCTAAGGAAAAGCTGTGGCGGACTGTGGATGAGTGGATGAAAGTCGTACTCAGTGATGAATCTGGACTCTGCACTGGGAAGCTGATGATGCTGGAGCTTTGTTTGGTGCCGTTCCAGTGAGACTTAGAGAGATGACTGCCTGAAGACAGCATGCACATTTCCACAGTCCACCGTCACCTGGGGCTGCATGACAGGTGAAGGCACCGGGGAGACGGCCGCCATTACATCTTCAATAAATGCACAAGTTTACCCTGATATTTCTGACACTTTTCTTATCCCGTCAGTTGAAAGGATGTCTGGGGAGGATGGAGTCATTTTTCAAGATGATAATGCCTCTTGCCATATAGAAAAAAACTGTGAAAGCATTCCTTGAAAAAAAACATAAGATCAGTGTCATGGCCTGTAAATAGTCCAGATCTTAATCCAATGGAAAATCTTTGGTGGAAGTTGAAGAAAATGGTCCATGACAAGGCTCCAGCCTGCAGAGCTGATCTGGAAACAGCAATCAGAGAAAGTTGGAGCCAGTACAGTCTGTCACTCATTAGGGCCGTGCCTCAGAGGCTGCCAGCTGTTATAGAGCCAGAGGTGGTGCAACAAAATACCCGTGATGTGTTGGAGGGTTCTTTTGTTTTTCATGATTCCATCATTTCTTCCCCAGAATTGAGGGATTCCATATTTTTTTCCCTCAGCTTGGTCTAAAAAAGTAACCCTTATTGACTACCACAATTTTTTTCTTGATTTCTTTTAGTGTTTCTTAAAGCCAGACAGTTGAAATGACTATAGTTTTGTGTCATGTCTGTGATCTGCCTTTTTTCTACTAAATTAAACAACTGAATGAACATCCTCCGAGGCCGGTGATTCCATCATGTTTGCCAGGGGTTGTGCAATATAAATTCTGAGGTAAATGGAATTAAAGCCCCAACAATGGAAAGTATAAAGTCCCTAGAGAAGGCACTGAGGACACTCTTAGGTCTCCTCTTCTGGCCTGAAAAGAGGTTTTTGGTCACATGAAAAAGAGCCAAGTGGGTAGCTAACTTTCAAAATGGTCAAAACATAAAATTGAATTTTACATTTGTCAACACTGTGACTTTTGAAAAGGCGACAAAACTTTGGCTAAGCTGCCGCTTTGCTGTCACCGGAAAAAAAAGAACGAAGCGCTGGGTTAATTCTATTAATGCGCTGGCTGATAAAAGCATTCGCAATGCACTCAGTGGAGATGCAAGGCTCAGATGGAGGCGAAATGAAGCGTGTCGTCAGGAGTATTTCAGAAAAATCCAATCAATTATTTCATTGGATTAGCTGCTGATTACTGCACAATGCTGGTAAACAAAAATTATGAGGCGCAAAGGCAGCGTGGCAAGTGGGCTTATCGGCTAATCATGTTTCTGCTCTCAGACATGTGTCCCTGACACAGGAGGAACCAGCCGCGCATTCACCCAACACTGCACGTACATTCCTGTAATCTCATCCCTCTGCATCTCTATCCTCATTCGGCATTTTACAGCCATTCAGGAGCAGAACGGCTTCCCTGTGGCTTTGCATGCACACATATTCAGAGGAGCCGGTCACGCCCTGCTCATCCCCCCCCCCAGACCCACCGATACAGTGGAGCGTTTGCTGGAATGGCAGCAGGGTGTGGCTGTCTGGCAGCAGCACGGGGACGACTCACAGCTGGAAAACATCTAATCACAGCAAAACACACACAAGACTCCCCACGCTGGAGCCCCCCATCCACAAACCGGAACACGGCCTCGGTTATCGGAGCATGCCCAACGCCTGTGTGTGCGCGTGGGGCTGAAACTCTGCATGTGTGTGTGTGTGTGTAATGCAGCGGCCTATTTTTAGAATGGGGCTAATTTTGTGGAACAAGCTGTGGCCCCGGCAGCGTGAGAGACCTCCTCTCCTGTGGGCGAGGGACAGTCAGAGCAGTACCTATTAAGCCAGCGACACATGATTAGACGGCCTAAAAGCCAAGAGGAGTCCGGCCTGAGACCCGAAGGCTGCCAGTCTCAATCCCCAGACGGAGCAGAAGCACCTGGGCGGTCGCAGTGATTGAGCACGAGTTTTTTTCCTCACTTAATAAATCTGGTTGGGATGCACTTACATTAGCAGACGCTTAACCTGAGTGCATATAAGTGAACGGAACCCAGGATTTAGAGCAGTTCCCCAGAGGGAGCCTGTGTCGTTTTACAATGATAAAACGTTTCGTCAAACTTACATTTGAAGTTTGGAGCAATAAATCCACTGAAAAAGGCTTCCCACTATTTACCCTCCTCCATAGAAGCTCCAGTGGGAAAACTGGGTGATTTACTGTTCTGATTCTGAACAAACAGGCGACAAAAAGACAGCTGTTGCTGTGACAATATCAACAAAATGTCAACAAAAACTCTGTTCCATTAAACACCAAAATCAGAAAAACACAATTCAAACCAGAGAGTCCCAACTCCTCAAAGTCTCTTTCCTTTACAGTGTGTCACATCTAACCTGACTCCCCAGTACAGTGTCATTCATATTCATCTTTTTGGGCTCTAAGAAATGTCATAGCAAACATTTTTTATTCAATTACACGTTAAAATATTTCAGTTCAGACAAAGGCTGAATGAAGCATTATTAAAATGTTAGGGGTTGTTAAATGTTGACAGATCTCCCTCTTAATACACATTTAATACACATTTTTTAGAGTTATTTTAGAGAGAGTCGTCTCTTAAGCACTGTAGCTTTGACATACCCACAAAGGCCTAGAAATGGCCCTCCCCATCAATCTATCCTGGACCAACACACCAAATGCCCAAAGAACGTTCAGGAAACCAAGGAACTTTCATCACTTCCTGTGTTATGGCAATAGGAATCATTATCACCCAAGGTGAGCGTGGCAAGGATCAGTGGTGACAGCCAGTCAGCTCCACGCAAAACCCCAGCTTCATTTCTGGGCTTTTGGGATTCTAACCCAAATGTATGTCATACAGGTTAAAAAAATATGTGATGGGCCAAAAAAAAACAGAAGGAAAAAAAAAAATGGTTTTCAGAATTGACAGAATTGCCCCAAAGAGCAATATCTGAAAAATGTCCAGGATACTTTACAGACTTAAAAAGTGAAGGTTTCCACTTCTGAATTACTTAACACAATCCCTTTAAGTTGACCATCACTTCATTTGTTGGTGGGTTTAATTCAAATAAAAAATAAATGCAAAAATCTCAGCTTTGATCAAAGTGAATGGTGAGTGATGGCCACTCCTTTTTTTTACATTTTTATTTCTTCCCAACTGAACACAGGTCAACCTTTGCCCATTACAAAACGCAGGCTTGTGATTGTTTGAGCTGTGTGGATTTGAACATTCACTCAACAAACACTCCTGTGTTTTCAGACGGGCAGGCAGCGGGGAGCTGATGAGGCCCATAAAGCCACAACCATTTAGCAGAATGAAGCTGGGACCAGACAGAAGCCCCTCCCATTAATCCCACAGATCAGGTGAAACTGCTAAAAACACCACACTCAACACGCATTCTGCACCACAAAACAGACAGCCTGAAAAGGGACTGTGAAAGAAAAAAGGGTGACCCCCCCCCCCCCCTCTGATGTTTTCTAAGGGACCACTGAGATGTAATTCTTTCTCAAAGCGATGCCTGTGTCAGAGGGAGGCTTCTGTTCTACTCGGCTGCCGTTCCATGGCAGGTCGGGGGGGAGGGGGGG